TTAAACCAATTGCTAATGTTGTAAATTGTAAACTGGCTTACACTATTCCTAACACACTTAAATACTACATTAAAAGAGGTAAAGACAAATTAGAACAGATACATAATCAGAATGTAGTTTACAAAATATCTTGTGAGAATTGTGATGTTAGCTATGTTGGCCAGACGAAGAGACAATTGAGAACAAGGGTAAAGGAACATGTCTCAGATATTAATAAAGGTTCAAAATCTCCATCAGTTATTACTAAACATATAATTGAAATAAATCATGATTTCAAAGGGAATAATGTAAGAATATTGGACATAGAACCTTCCTACAGAAAACGATTAATTTCGGAGATGGTCTATATTAAGAAACAAATACACGGTATAAACAGACAAAACGATACGGAGTCATTGCCTGATTCGTATACTAACACGTTCCCTCTCCAGTTCTTAATTTTCCACTGTTCTTGTCCTCTCTCGACGTTCTGCTTGTACATTATGTTGTCTGACGTGCTTAAAAGTGGTTGCTTTCGCAAGTCAAAATTGGTTAATTATTTTGAAATGTATACACATATAAGGATTTTTAATACACACACACACTTTACTGGTTTTTCATATTCATCTGATAAGGTAAATTACTTTCTGTTTCAACTGGTTTTTTATTTTTATTTGACAAGTTATAATAACTTTCTTTTACACCTTTTGAATGTTGTTTTACATTTTATATAATTGTTCATAGATATGTTCGTATTTGCATGTTAAACATGAATTTCAATTGGTTACAACTTATTGGTTGCAACTTGTTTTTTATATTCATCTGACAATGTAAAATAATTTTCTGTTACGTTTATATTCATCTGACAAGGTAAAATATTTTTTGTTACATTTTTTTAAGTTTGTTTTACATATTACATAATTTTTTCTAGATATGTTTGTATTTGCTAGTTAAACTTGAATTTCAATTGGACTATTTACACTTTTTACTTTGAACGACATGATTATTCTCACAACGTCAAGATTTGTTATTATTAATTTATTCTTTTCTTGGAGGTTTTACATAAATGCAACCGTTATTTAATATACATTGTATTTACTCTTCTTAGATTATTGACTAGATTGTTCTGCAATTATTAGGAAATGTTACAATTAATTTTTCATGATTATATTATGCTAGCGACATTATGATATGTTATATTTATTTTTATTATGTATTTTGAAAGATTTTACTAATGTGACCGGATTTCTAAGATAAAGTTGTTTTTGCATTGAAAATGACCCGATCGGATTCGAAACGTTTGTAATGTTATTATTTTAATTAAAATTGTTCGTTATAATATTGGTTCTATGCCCTGTTAATATTTATAACATTTAAGAGGTTTTAGCCGTCGGTCGGACAGCTTGCTTAATGCTAATGCCGGCAATACTGTAACTTTGAAGCATAATAACTTGAAAAGTACTTCATAAAAAAATATTTCATTATAGCATTTTGGAAAGCTCTCGATATCAGCTATTAGATTCTTGAATCAAAAATAGGGTATTCCATTTAAGAAAATCAATGTAACCTTGACCTGACCTTGGCTACACAACCCAAGGTCAAACTGATAGGATCAGTAAATAGATATTTTTAAACCATATAACTTTTGTCTGAAACACTTTTCTGTAAAACTTATATTTCCCGAGATATTTAGGTGTCCCAACCTTTTTGGGACATCCTGTATATCCAATAATAAAGACAAATAAATAAATAAATAATAAATAAATAACAAATAAAGACAATATTAGGTAATAATTGACATGCAATATTGGCTACACATTGGCATTTATTAAACAGCCCATATTGGCATTACATTGGGAAATCTTGGCCAATGTATTCCCAATATAACCAATATTTAGCAAATCTTAGCAAATGTATAGCTAATGTTCTGTGCTACTAGGGGTGTAGGATAATGTGAGATAGAATGTATAGGATAAAATGAAATAGAAATATGTCACGTACTATAAATGGCTGCCAAGTCACGCAATTGATTAGATTGCAACAGCGAATGGTGTGAACTGAGTGCGCACTGGTGCGCACTAACTTTTGCCCAATCGAAAACGCTATAAGAGAATAATTCTCTTATGGTTACTGCACACTGGACGCGATGAGCGATGAGCGACGAACGATATCCAATGAGAGCTTTGCTTTGCGTCGTCACGTGAGAAAAAGCAGAGTTTTTATTGGATATCGCTCGTCGCTCATCGCTCATCGCGTCCAGTGTGCAGTAGCCATTAGATATGCTTGCGAAATTTGCAAACAAATCTAAGAGAACGATTCTGTGATTGGCGATATTGAATCCACTTACGCACGATCCGCTGCATGGGACATCACCCTCACATGATTGAAAAATTTAACTTATCTAGAGTCCTAGATTTATCAGAGAGGTGCAACCGACTTTGTCAGTACGACAAAGGTGCTAAGGAGAGTACTAAACATGGTCGACATGCTATGAAACTGCCTTTAAACTATGTCAAACAAAACAAGACGTGTAGGATAATGTGAGATAGAATGTATAGGATAAAATGAAATAGAAATATGTCACTAGTATTATAAATGGCTGCCAAGTCACGCAATTGATTAGATTGCAACAGTGAATCAGAATGCATAACACCGGTTGCGCCTCTTTGATAAATCTAGGACTCTAATAGCGTTTTCGATTGGGGTTCACTGGCTGCACTCAGTGTCAAGAGCGTGTTCGATTGGCAGTGCCAATGCGCACTTGGCTAGTGTCACGTGTTCATTTGATCGCACGACACTCGCGTAGCGCGCACTCAGTGCGCACTAAGTGGCACGAGATATTTTGACGGTGCCAGTTCAGTGCACGTTTTATCACAGTTAAGGATATACATAGGAACAAGCAAATCTGCGCAGTTGAATTGAAAACGGGGTCTTGTCCCTACTCTTAATATCTTTTACTGTGGTTTTGTAACATTTTGTTGAACATTGCTTCAAAGTGAACAAAAATAAGTTTCAGCTTTTACACTAAAAATCTTGGCGTATTCTTTTGAACTTGCACTATTCAGTGCAACCCATGGAACTCGTCCAGTGTTGGTGTGAACTGAGTGCGCACTGGTGCGCACTAACTTTTGCCCAATCGAAAACGCTATA